AATGTGCCTTCAAAATAAGATACAAAGTGTATGAAAAATACAACTCACCATCCCGGCATATATTGCAATGTGTGCTTGGTGCATGGGAATCTCCCTTTGTAATAAATCCGTATTGTAAGTAATAATAACAATACATTTTATTTATAAGCGCCTTTCAAGACACCCAAGGACACTTTACAATAACAAAAAACACAAAACAATACGGGTTGAGCAGCGGCAGCCAAAACGCGCCAGCGTTCACTCAACCCGGAAGTCAGAAAGAAACCTCAAGGGAGGGAGAGGGGGAGAAAAAAAAAACACGCTCGAACTATCCTCATTTTGAGGATAATTTGAGTTAGGCAAAAAAATTCCTGCACAAGCATATGACAGTTACAACAGGTCACAAGACATAAACAATGAAGACGGTGATACAAGGGAGTGTATGAAGGAGGGGGTGATGGTGGGGGACTAGCTTCCGTGCATACTTTCATCAGGGGAAGGTCGAGATAGCAGATGTTGTTTTGGTAGCAGGCTGCCCAAGAATTTAAGACAGCCTTGAGTCCGTGGCTTATGTCTCTTTAATGGCGTCGATCAGCCAAATCCGTGATTTCTGTTCTTATTTCCCTCGAAAAATCAGCAGTTACACATGAAGGCAGCGCTGTGAAGATCATTTTGTGACATTTTATGGATTTTTTTAACATTCCTGAACAAAAACATAATGACAATTAATTCACAGTTTGTCATTGCAACCTTCTTAAAAATACCATAATATTTCTTCCGAGGGGCAAGTAGGCTTCCCACTGCCTGCTCTTCTCATCGAGAAAATTTTGTCGATGGCATCGAGAGACCGTGATACTGTCTATTAAATGTAGCCTTCTTTTTCTTGAAAGTCGTCGGCTCCTCTTCTGTCTCCTGGCTGGGCCTTTTCCCCTTTCCAAAGATGTTTGTTTTGTAATCATTTTGCTCGCTTCTGGGTTTCATTTTAGCGGTTACCTATCACGTGATTGAGAAGCGTGCCTTGACCTGCGTCAAGAGTGAAACACTGCAGACAGATGTAACAGAGAATCCGGTAATTTTTCAAAATAAAACATCTTTCAGAAATAAATAAAACGGAAGTAATGTAAGTTCTTTATTATTTCTGTGCGGCCCGGCACCAAATCACCCACGGACCGGTACTGGTCCACGGCCCGTTGCTTGGGGACCACTGACCTAAGATGCCACAATAGTGTAAAGGCACCAAATCCATGACTGAATAGGAAAGTAGTATTTGGTGTCCAGGAAGTGTGTTGAAGTGACTGAGAGATCAAGATTTTTATGGCAGGGCAGAGCTAAAAGCTACGAAGAGTCTTCTGCTCCGTTGAGTGGCTATTAAAAAGTCTACGTAAGGCTAATGTCGTAAGATCAATTTAAAATGACTAATTCAACTGTTTTGGGATCATAATTGGTGATGTATTTGTGGTTCAAACTACTAATACAGTTAATTCTACACGTTTTGGATGAGGTTTGACGGTGACTTGCGTTTTTCACTATTAGCAACATGAACAGTAGTGCTGTTTGAAGGAATGAGTCATTGTACTGCTCCCGGCCTTTCCACCGCATAATTACACATGAGACCAAAAGAAATATATTGAAATGCATTGTTGGGAGTCATGAAATTGCCCTTTCATGAGTGTAAAACAATCTATTTCATATTGAATGACTCAATACTCTCATGTGTCATTATCTCTGCATTAGGTCCTATCACTGGAGAAGCAGGTCTCGTCAGACCAACCTTCTTCAGTCCGGATCCGAAAGTCCAGCTTACCACAACCGGCCGCCTCGACCAGAGCGTCCACCTCCGACTCGCCGCCGCCTCATTCGCCCACCGCGCCCCCTCTTTTACTCACCCCGCCTCCTCTTCCGCCCCCGCCCGCACATGCCTCCTCTTTTACGCTGCATCACCGGGACGGCGAGCCGTACGCCTCCAGCCCGCTGCGCAGTGTCTCCAGCATATGCGTCGGTATCTCGGCCTCCCAGAAGCACCTAGCCCACAACGAGTCCACGCCCAGCCTGGCCTCGGACATCTCGCTGCCTTTCGCCACCCTGGAGCTTCAACAGAGGCTTCGACAGCTGCACAAGTAAAATCACTCATCGATAATTTATGGTTCAATTTCCTGTTTATTGACCTTTTGCTATATTGCCAACAACTCTCTTGACTTTATTTCAACGCGGTTATTACCTCCACCGTTGACATTTTCCACGAGCAGGTTTATGCATCAGTTGAGCCCAATTTATTCATTTTTGTCATAGACCGAAAACATTTGTTTTATAGATGCAGAAGTGGTTATATGCACACTAGATGAAGGCCTTGGCTGTGGTCTGATTGACTGACTGAATGTCTGATGTGCTTACAGTGGCTCGACCCCGAGCCAATTCCCCCTGGGTGAGGTCCACCTGACCGTTCGACATAGCGCCCAACGCAACAAGCTCATCGTGGTGGTTCACGCGTGTCGGTAAGCTTGCAAAGTGACAGAAAATGCTTAACATTTGACTGTATACATTTTCTAAGTACGTCCCATTTGTTCCTCTCATTGGGTGTGGCATCCGCTAATAATTTATCGTTCACACAATGATAACTGGTGAGCCCATAAGCCCACAAAACTCGGCGTGGAGCTTTTACTGGATGTCACACTTTCACACAAGGTTGCACATTTTCAATCGTGGACGCAGCACTTCATACACTAAACTCTGTGTATGTGGCCTATGGACACATCACAAAACACAGCTTTTGTCTGGTGTGTGTTTTCCTAGAAATTTGATAGCCTTCTCAAAAGATGCCTCGGACCCCTTTATCCGCCTCTACCTGCTGCCTGACAAGAGCCGCACGGGCAGGAGGAAGACGGCCACCGTGAAAAAGAGCCTCAACCCTGTTTACGATCAGACGTGAGTTTCGCATATCAGAACCATGTGGCGCATTAGCTTGTTTACACCAGTTTGTTTTGGGGAGATTGAAAGTGCAATACATTTGTGCCTCGATGTTGTTCGTGTAGTGCAAACGCGTTTGTATGCGTACTTGCAGATTTGAATTCAGCGTGTCAATCGTGGAGCTCCACAGGAGAACTCTGGACGTCGCTGTAAAGAATGGCGGAAACATCTTGTCCAAACACAAAGGCCTATTGGGAAAAGTAATGCACATTTCCTCTCTTGTATGTGTGTGTCTGTTTATTTTTTCGAGTAGGAATTTGAATAATTTCCAGTCTGCAATGTAAAACTTAACCTTGTACAATTGTAGGTGCTGGTCGATTTGAGTGGAGAAGATATAGCGAAAGGATGGACGCAATGGTAAAATTGCATTGAGTTGTATATTTTAAAATTGCATTTTATTATTTGATCTTGTATGATTTGTTAATGGGCAATGTCAGTTTTACTGTCGAAACACCACATATACACATTAGAAAGGTAAGCCTACAACAAAACATTCAACAAAAACAACAACAAAAAATAGTACAGGAAAAATATTAAGTGGTATTAAAAAAAGTGATGTGAATTAAATTTTGTAAAAAAAAAAATCTATTTTTGAATGCATTTTTATGTGTTATATTTCATTTTGGGTCAAAGCACCCTCTTTAAAGCACATACAGGATTTGATAGCAAATAAAATGTTTGCATGACAACAATTTTGTTTTCTTGTCAAAATCAGGAGAACAAATGATCATTTTTATCTTGTAGGTATGAGCTGAGCGAAGATGGTTCGTCTTCACAAAGGAGCATCCAAGACACATTTACATAGTGACCCTAATTGTAACCATTTTATTTCTGTACTGTACATTTTTGTCATATAGAATCATTTCAGCATGCATTTTCACTTTCTGACTCTGGTCGGTGCATCCAAATATTGTAACATATTGTTAACTTAATGAAAGGTCTTGTCGCTGTCTGTGGTGTTGCTCGTACATAACTTAGCAGGGCATTAAAAAAAAAAAAAAAAAAAAAAAGACAAAATTCTTACCAAAGCAGCGGAATGAGCCCGTAAGTGGGCAGTTGTTTGTATTTTGTCCTGCAGTGGATGTTTTGACTTTTGTCATGTACTGTATATATTTATTTTGATTTCATCTATGGAATGCACATCAAACTGAATGCTTTGTGTATTTTTTTAGGTGGACTTTGTGCAATATTGTTTCGGACATGCATGGTCTCCACGGCAAGAACCTTTTGTGGGCATTTTATAGGGCTGCAAATGATGTAGAAAAAAATATATATACTTGAATTTAGGGTTTGTTGGGTATTCAGACCAGATGTGAGCCAAGAAACCAGACAAGAGACAACTGTTCACGTGTGTTTTTTGTTTTGTTTTGTTTTCTTTTTTGGGGTGGCGTTGTTGCAGGGCTTCCAAGAAAATGAAGCTTTGTATATGTTGTTGTTTTGGGGGTTATTTTTGCGATGCAGTTTTAACTGTTTGTGCTTGTTGGAGCTTTTTAATCTATCCCGTGCCTTAAAAAAAATTAAAAACCTCACCGCCGTGTAATTCTTGCCTTCTCAAAGTTATTGATTTCGGATGACGTGTGGCTTTTTGATGAATAAATGGTTCCTTTGTGAAAATGGTGTGATTTATTTTTTGAGAAAAAACATAAATATATATATATTGTTTTAGTACATACGTATATGTGATATATACTTAGATACTAAATTAGATACGTATTAATTTTATGATGAGTAAAAATATTCATCAATAATGTTTTCGTCCTTGCTCAAATTGTCCCGGATGTACGAGAGTGGCGACTGGCGACGTAACTCAAATTTCTAACACAATTTACTAACGTATAAGTTAAGTCAAAATATATGATAGTTTTATCGACATATTATTTTATTTCTTTGCAAAATAAAAATAAGGCTTGTCAGAAACGGTTGGAGCAGTTGAAAACTGAGGCGCTCACTGTATTGAATCGTCAATCTGGGAACATTTGTAAATCAATGTCGCCATCAAGTGGCAAAAAATAACAAGTGCAAGTTTTGTGACGTCACGGTTTACGCCTTACGTAATGACGTGATAGGTCGTATGAATTTGCGCGGGCCCGTACCTGGCCGCTGGTCTGACAACTGCTTACCAGATAATCGCGAAAAAAAGCGAACAAAAGAGGATGATAGCTGAGCGTTTGAATGTATTACGACTCCAAGACAAATACTAGTCGGAGAGTAGTACGGTAGGAAATAGTTTGCCTTTGCAAATATCGCCTTCAACAGTTTTCTTCAAATCGGCATCCATGTTTGTTTGCGCCGTAAAAAAAGCCACTGATGCTTTTTTTTTGGATGATTCACCTTCCCGTTGCTACTTTTTAGTTGACTCGACCGAACTTGTTTCTTTTCTAATAAAAGCGACAACATGACAAAGCGTGAGGCTTTCGTTGAAGCCGCCTGTCAAGAAAATGTGGACGATTTCCTTCGGCTAATCCAACTTCACGTAAGTAAGCGTACACTTGAATTCCCACATACTGTTAAATGGAAATAACGTTGTCACCACGTAAAGTCATAAAAATGTTACAGAGAAGAGTTTAGAGCAGTGATTCTCGAGATTTTTACAATGCCACACTAAAAGTAGCTCTCCAAGTACGACTAACATTGCACATTGAAATACTGTTTCCGTACAAAATAATGTGATGATGGCTGAAAATATTTATTTGCGTTTACCTCCGTTTACCATTCAAAACATACACAGTAATGTAAATGTACCGTAATGTATCCGACGGAACAAAATGTATGCTAAGCGTGGTTTTAATTCTACAACGCCTGTGCTTTGAGTAATCTGAATTGTGTATTTCACGGTTGTTGTTTTTTTTTCCCTCGTGCGGTTTTGCTGAGCAGAAGGACAGATCGGATCCTTTTGACATTGAGGAGGTGATGGAGGAGATGTCCAAGAATCAGCGTGAGGCTCTGTGGCTAAAACTGGCCTCTCTCCTTCGGGATGTCCTTATGGAGGTGCCCCCGGAACGTTGGGAGGAGGCTATGGATGTGGAAACCGTGAGTTACGGATCTTGGGAGTGGAGGTAGGGTTTGGTGAGGTTAATGTGGGGAGCGAACTCATTTTCCTCTTACACGCAGAAACATGTCATGGACATCGTAGCAGGTGTGACTCTCGTGGCCACCGTATCTCTAAAGGTTCTGCAAGACGGCGACGCCTACCATGGACTTCTTGATATTACCCACCAGCTTCACGGTCTGTTTGGAATCACATTGCAAATTTCTCTTTCAAAAGCTATTTTTCCACTGACCATTTTGTCTTATTTTTCACATCCAGATGTTCTGGTGTCATTTCCCATGACCGAGGCTCACTTAATGCTCCACATCCACACGCTGTGCGAGGCCTGGTGGAAGAAAGACTTGCTGGATAAAGATACGTTTGGCCACACAGCTTTGGTCATTACTTTGAAAAAGAGCTTCCTTTTGAAGAAACCGGTGAGTAACTGAGCGAGACATTCCCACATGCTAGTTGACTACCAAGTTGAATTGTTTCATTATTTACCACACACTGTCAGGGAAAAGGTGCTGAATGTGTATCTTGGTAACCTAAACACACCAAAAGGATAATGATTGATGACTTTTGTACGGGAAAAGTTCAGCATCGCATGCCGCAATGTCCAATAGGAACCAGCGAGTGCCCCATAAGTACACAAACAACAGCAATTTTTTTCCCAAGAACCGTTGACAATTCATTTAAAGTATGTTCAATGAGACAGACATTTGAAAAATCATGAGTTACAAAAACGCAAATAATAATAATGATGAATGCCCTTGCGACAGAAAAAGTTCAACATCGCACGGTGCAGTGCATCTTGGCAACCAAGGGGTGATCGAAAAGTACCCAAACAGCAGCAATATTTTCTTCACAAGAAAATGGACAAATTGTTTAAAGTGCATTACGATGCGACCCTTTTTTTCCTGACACTGCAGTCAGTCATGTAAATTGCACTGTATTCAGTTACTGTTTAAAATACGAATGGATGAAATGCAGGCACGGAATAAAGTGTGAGGATAACACTGCTAATATTCAACCTTGCCAGTACGCCGAGGTCCAAAGAGCGTGGAGCCTCCACAAGGTGCTCTCAAATGTGGACTACATGTCTGAGGAGGGCCAACAGCTGGGCGAGCAGCTGGCGCGGTGTTTCCAACATCCCGCCATCATCAGTCTTGACGACGTGAGCACGTCGGGGTTCGCACCGATCTCCTCGGTGTCAACGAGCTGAGAGTGTGACCCTGCGTCTTGTGTCTGTCGGGCCCCGCAGGGCAAGAGGTTGATGGTGTTTCTCTTCAGCTGGCACGTCGACTTCATCCCGCGCATCCACGGCACCATCAAAAATCAGATGGAGTTCTTTAACAAGTAAGGGGCCACTTTCTACCTTCTTACACCCTGAAAGTATTTTTATTTTGCCCGTTTTATATTCAGGCCTTTTTGAATGTGCCGGTTGAATTTTGCCAGAGGGTGTTGGATTGAAAATATTTAAGAATTTAGTACTTGTCAAGTGCTCCTTAAATTAGCCTTAAGTGTAAGTGTCCCATTAAAATCCAGAGGAATAGTTCAAGCGCACATTTCTCTTAAAGATTTGTTTTGACGTCTGTAGTTTGTTTGTTTTTGTCCACCAGGTGGCACTATTGCCCTATTCAAATTACGCATCAAAACTTGTTACCTTTCACGGGGTTCAAAAGCATGCCTCAGTACATATCAGCTCATGACTGCCGCCTGAGATATTGCAAAATTTCAGTCTTTGATCTGTTTACGATGCAAAGTGTGGAATTATAAGAGAAAATGACTGACACAGAAAGGTACACGCCCACTTTGTTTTTACATACCGTGCCTACCATTATCCAACATTAATAGCAAAACACATTTCAGTAGCAAGACATTTTTTTTTATTTTGTTTTTTTTTTAGAAAGCAGTAAAAGGTGTAAATTTTACTGCATGTTTTGAATGAGAAAAATAGTAACGTCTGGTGTACAAATAGAAATATTTGGTGTAACAAAAACTAATTTAAAACTATTTTTTTCAAAAAGAGTGATCATTTTAAAAGTGGTAAAAAAATATTGATAGATTATTTTTTACACTTGTTTTTGGCAAAGTGACCATTTTTGTGGCCGGGCGAAAAATGTCGGCATTTTAACGTTGTGACACGTCCTCGCGATGTCATCGTTTCGTCCCAGAATGACCATGGCACATGTGGCGGAGATCTACTTCCGAGCCTGGAAAAAGGCCAGCGACAACTTTCAGGAGAAGATCGAAAGCGAGTGCATCCAGGACTTCATGAAGTGTGCCATCCTGTTGCAGAGGTCGTCACCCGTCCACCGCAAAGTCCAACAGGTGCAAGGGAGAGAAAAACCGACAAAATGGCTTTCCATGTTTTTTTTGTTTTTTTTCTCGGGGCATTAGTTTAAGAAGCTTGTTCTAATTGTTAAAACTTGGGGCATGTCTCTTGCAAGTTAGCGAGTAGACACATTTTCAGAAATCAGCAGATACCAAGAGACCTACTTGGTTGTTTAATTTCACACCTGATTAGTGGACGGCCATTATATAATCATCTGAATATGTTTGTCTCTGTCTCTCTTGCCTTCCTGCAGATCATCTTCCACTTCCACAAGAAGAAAATCTGCCGCCCAGTGGGAAAGATGCTCAGTGTCCTCTACAAGCCCATTCTTTGGAAGTATCTCAACGTGCGTACTGCACATCCTTTTGTGCCTCTTTTTCGTTCTATTGATCTCAGCGCCGCCCGAGTACAAAGTCTGAACCTCTTCTCGTCCCCACAGGTCCCGAATTTTGAGGTCCGCACCAACGCCACAGTGCTGTTCACCGATGCCTTCCCCATCGTTGACCCTGATAAGGAAATCGAAGTGGACCTTCAAAAGCAGCTAGACACACTCATGGTGACCTTTTTTTTTTTTTTTAAACCAGTGTAAACGACAATATTGTTCCGAAACACCAACTTTTCCTACACATGACAGGGGGCGGTTGTCTGTGACATATTTTTTTAAATTTAGTTAGTTTTAAAGTTGGGACACACCGCTCTAGTATCTTTACTAACGTGTCTGCTGATCTCCATTTCAAGGTCCTGCTGTTTGACAAACACGACGTTGTGCGCTGCAACGCCATTCAGGGCGTCTGCAAGATCCTCGACAGGTGCTGGGAGTTGCTACCACCGGACGTTATCGTGGACTTCTTGAAGAAATTAAAAGACCTGGCGGGTGACTGCAGCTCAGACGACGTCCGCTGTGCCGTCTTCACGGTGGGACTTCCTCTCGCATTATGATAAAATGCGAAAAGTCTCCCTGAAACCTGCAGGTATTCATGATGGTGTCGTTTTCCTCAGTATCTGCGCATTGTCCTGGACAACGTCCTCAGCCATCCCGTGCTGGAGAAGCTGGTGCCCAAATTCAAGTACAGCCTCCACGACATTTCCGTGAAGGTCCGCGTGGCTTTTGTCGACATGCTCCTCAAGATCAAGGCGGTCCGTGCGGCCAAGGTAAATTGAACACACTAAGAACCACTTCATTAGCTACACTTCGACCATCTCATGTGATCCAGAGAAGAAATTTTCATCTCTGACTGACAAGTGTCCAATAAGTTTTCCTGTGCTGTGTGCTCCCTGACTAGGTCAAAAATAAACAATTTGTGACAATCAAACCTTCCAAAATGGATCCCGTTATTGCGGCAGTGTACCAAATGAAATTTGGTGATCGCTGAGAATCAACCCAAATACCGTATTGGCCCGAATATAAGACGTCCCTGATTATAAGACGACCCCCTCTTTTTCAAGACTCAAGTTTGAAAAAAGACTTTTTGAACACCAAATTAATTTTTATCCAGAAACTAATTACAGTACATCTGAAACAAATGATTATAACAATATATTTGAGAGAAAAAGCATGTTATTTTGCCTCATTCAAATCTTAAAATCTGAACATTTAAATATGTAAACTAAATTGCAATCACATTCGTAAATGAATGGCTTCTTGTTTTTGAAATGTAAATGACATCATAAATTCTCCTCAGCTGCCGGTGAACCTGGCCGATCTTCTACCCACTTTTCTCCCGATTGTCGCTACGTTTCTCCATTTTTCTGTGATCTCTTCTATTATTTTCTTCTCTTTTCTTTCTTACCGCTATTTTTATTTTTATTCTTCGTGACAGGGGTTCACTTTGGCCTGGGGAGTCAAGTTCAGCATTCGCTTCAATGATATCTGGCGCCATCTAGCGTCGTGAATGGGTATAATGTCTAGACCCCGAATATAAGACTACTCCCACTTTTTCAGTCTTATTTCAATGCAAAAACCACCGTCTTATATTCGGGCCAATACGGTAAATACTTGATAGCTGCAACCCTAGAATGAACACAGCTTTTTTGTTCATGTAATGGTGCTTGGTTACCTTATCAAACGACTACATCTCTTAACGCTCCGCCGCAGTTCTGGGATGTGTGCAGCCTGGACCACCTCGTGGCCCGCCTGGCCTCGGACACGGCGCACGTGTCCAAGCGCCTCACCGAACTGCTCTTCGACTCCTTCTTCCCCGCCGACGCCGAGTCGAACTGGTGCAGCCGCTGCATCACCCTCATCCAGATGAACCCCATGGCAGCCCGCAAGTTTTACCTATACGCTCACATGCACACCGCCCCAACAAATATAGGTAAAACGATGATGCACTATTTTGGTCATGAAAGCATCTGGATATTTCAGATGAAACTCCGTTGTATGTTTGCAATCAGTGAAATTGATGCTGGCCATCCGCCGTGTCCTGAATTCAAGCATCCAGAGCGATGGTGACGACGCGGAGCTTAACGACAGCAGCAAGGAAAACCGGATGGTACGAAACGACAAAAGCACCGCTCACAGAAAAGAAGCTTGTTTTAAAGTCTTTGAGCCCGCATACTGAGATGCAGGGGTGGTGTTCTCCTTCAGCCTCAGGGTGAGAATCAACTGGCACTGGAGAAGGATGTGGTGGCCAGTCTGCTGGAGGTGGTGGTTGTCCTGTGGAAGAACGTCGACAGGACCCTCCAGCAAAGTGACGAAACCCAGAAGTACCTGTATGCCCAGTTTGGTCGAGTCTTGAGCAAATACTTCAGCAAATTCACGGTACTCAGTCATATGCTACCTTTTTGTTTTGCCAATTACAGTCATACCTCGGTTTTCGACCATAATCCGTTCCAGAAGGCTGTTGGAAAAACGATTTTTTCGAAAACCGAAACCACGCTCTTTAAAAAAAAATCTTTATTGAACATGTCTGCTCACAATTGAACACTACGTGAGGAAGCGTCACTTCCTCGTGTAAGGAAGGCGAGAGGACTCAAGTGGCGCATTCAAGTGCGCTCAGTTTGGTCAAGAACCGATTTTCGGTTGTAATCCGAGGCATAAAAAACTCGAAATTTTTGGTCGAAAACCGATTTGGTCGAGAACAGAGACGTTCGAAAATCAAGGTTTGACTGTATTTGGTAGTGTCACATCTCTCATCTTAGCTTTTTGTGGTTTGTGTGTGTGTGTCTCTTTTTTGTGTTTGGTGGTTTGTGGGTCTCTGCGCGCTTGCGTGAGGATTTTGTTAAATTATACAAATGCATGGCTTTATGAGAAGCAGGGATGGGCGAACCTGGTATTGGCCGATAGAGGTTTTATTTGAAAGGGACAGTGTGTAAACATTTATTTATTATTCAATTTTCATTATTAAAAAAAGGATTCATTAATATCAGTAATGTGGAAAAAATATGTTCTCTCCCAACACCGTAAATTAATTTATTCATTCATTCATTCATTCATTTTCTGATCCGCTTTATCCTCACAAGTGTCGCGGGGGGTGCTGGAGCCCATCCCAGCCGTCTTTGGGCAGTAGGCGGGGGACACCGCCTACTGCCTACACACACAGACGAACAATGATCCGCGCTCACACTCACACCTAGGGACAATTTAGAGTATCCAGTCAGCCTGCCATGCATGTTTTTGGAATGTGGGAGGAAACCGGAGTACCCGGAGAAAACCCACGCAGGCCCGGGGAGAACATGCACAGGGAGGCCGGAGCTGGAATTGAACCTGGTACCTCCGCACTGTGAGGTCGACGTGCTAACCACTGGACCCACCAGGCCGCCCTAAATTAATTTATGTAATTTCTAATTATATTGCATGGGGCGTTGTAATGTTTCGCCGCCATCTTTCTGCTACCGATACCCGAAGACGACAAACTTGGAGTGCGTAGCTCAACATGATCACGACACCCTAAGTAACAAGTGCCCATGCACTTACCCCGTCAGTCGTTTGGGATGACAACTCTGCTGAAGAAATTGGTGTTAGGCTTGCAAAGTGTACTCTCTCTGAAACGTGGATGTATGCGTGCGCTTCCAAATGCACGCACTTTGAGCTTAGTTTGTTGCATTCTGATGCTTCACCACAAGATGGCACTAAATTCTACAAACTGTACTTTTAAGTTATCGGGTACTCCTGGAGGGAGCCGATAACAGCCACCGATACTTAAACCAAAAGAGTTAAACATTGAGTAAGTTGTCATCATCTGCGTCAGAAAGAAAGGTCTTTGTTCACAATTTTTTGATATTGTGTAAAATAAAAAGTACTCCAGGTGAGCGCTCAATGAGTGAATACCCGGATACAAATATATTTCCTTTTTGTGTTGCACACTTCGCAACATATACCATTCACATTGAAATGAACCAAATGTATTTGTACCGACCTAGTTTAATGTACTCTATCTCATGTTCAGGATGAGCGATGCCAAGCTCCCCTCATGCAAATGGCATCCTTCATGCCTGCCAATGCGGTGGCAACATTTAGGTGAGTAAGTCTGACAAGTGCCGCCATCTGCAGCCTCTTACGCTGAAGTCTTTGTGGGGAACGTCTTGTCCCAGCTACGGCGTGCTGTCTCGTCTGAGGAAGTTGGAACCTGGAGCCCCGCCCTCGGCGTACAGCCAGCTGCTGGACTGCATGTGCAGTTGGGGCAAGACCGCCGGCGTCCTGGAGCTCATCATCGATTGGCTTTCCGAAGCCCTGCCCGAGAATCAAGTGGTCTGTTTGTCACTCTGTGTGTGTCTGTCATCATGGCAATGGCAACACTCAAACAACTTGTCGCCCACGGTCACTCCACCAGGTAAATGCCAAGCGGAAGGTGACCATCCAGGTGACGGCGGAGGCTAAGCCAGAGCTGGCGCTGGCCTACTTGGACTATCTGCTGCTTCACCGGTCCACGCGAAACAAAGTCCTGGCTCTCAGAGAGGGTCCACTCAAGCGTCTCTACACACTTCTTGGAAACTGGAAGGTTTGTTGCAATCATATTTCAACTTCCTATCATATCATGACGGGCGGCACGGTGGTCGACCTCCTGGTTAGCATGTCGGCCTTACAGTGCAGAGGTGTAGGCTTTGATTCCGGCTTCGGCCTTACTATGTGAAGTTTGCATATTCTCCTTGTGCCTGCGTGGGTTTTCTCCGGGTATTCTGGTTTCCTCCCACATTCCAAAAACATGTGTGACAGGTTAATTGAACACTCTAAATTGTTCCTAGGTGTGAGTGTGAGCGCGGATGGTTGTTCGTCACTGTGTGCCCTGCGATTGGCTGGCAACCGGTTCAGGGTGTCCCCCGCCTACTACCCGAAGATGGCTGGGATAGGCTCCAGCACCCCCCGCGACCCTTGTGAGGATAAGCGCATCAGAAAATGGATGGATGGAGATAGATATAGATATATATACACATTGCCTATACTGACGTGTGTACGGGGTTCCCACGGGTCCTTTAAAGTTCATAAAAATCCATTAAAAAAGTTGTAAAATGATGTTCTTAATTGTCCTTAATTTTCAGGGAAAGCTTCTAAAATCAATAAAAAGCCATAAAAATCTAGTTTTATTTGAAAATAAATTGAAGTTTTATATTTTCTAAATTTAAATTTGTATCAGTGTACTTTATTTGAGAATGAATTCAAGTTTTTTTCATTTTCCGACCTTTACAGGTCGGAAAATGAAAAAATTTGACATGTCAAAAATTATGACAGTATGTCAAATAAGGGTTAGCTGATTGCCCCTAAAAATAAAGATGTGCCCTTCCTTTTGCAGCAATGATTTGAACACCAGCTCAGTGATATGCGGCTTTCTGTTCAGCCCACATATTGCTGAGCGGGCATTAAATCCACCGTGAATCCCCTGCTGAATGGAGAAAAAGTCCTTAAAAATTGCTAAATTAGCCCTCACAAGTCCTTAAAAGGCCCATAAATAAAAAGCAAGTGGAAGAGTGGGAACCCTGGTGTAGATATGGTCTCGAAACAGAATTTGCTGTATATCCATATTTCCATCGCTTTGTCATGCCTTGTTTTGCATCAGCGTTAACTCTCGCGTTAACTCTGTGTTGTCACTGCTCTTGTGCATAGTCGCAGCTGTACTCTCACCTCAGCTCTTCCTCTGGGGGCCCAGCCGGCGCAGAACTAGCCCTCAAGGCCTTCACCTCCCATGGCTGTCTTAGCGTGCACTTGCAACACGACGTAAGTCTCATCCGTCTGTTTTAAGCCACAGAAAGGAAAGCCTTCTTTTGTAAACGAAGGACACCCCTACCTAGCTGTCCGACGGCCGCGAGTATCTGCAGTCGCTGGAGCACACGGCCGCATGGGTGGGCGAGAGCGTGCTGCCCTTCCTGGCCAACGGTCCTCCGGGAGATGCCGGTGACGAGGCGGAGAGTTTGAGAGCCTTCGCGGCGGAAATAACTAAGGTGAGCGCCATGTGGTCTTAGGTAACGTTCTTCATCGGAAACGTTTTATATACCCTGGAACTATTGAGTTCAATCAAACGCTGTCGTACATTTGTGTGTCAAAGCCCCCACTGTAACTGTACAATCAGAGAACATGTCGAAACGCAACTTAGAACTGGAAAGTGACTTCTGGTTTTCATTCATCCATCAGACCTTCCTGACGGTGTGCAGAGACGCGGTGCTCTGTTTGGATGACAGTGGCTTGAAGGATCACGTCCTGCACCTGTGCTCGCTTGTCATACTCTCAGGTGATGGTTATATATTTGTAAGTAATGGTGTGTATTCTGTACCTCTCTTACACTCTTGTGTGTTACAGAAGCGGGATACCTGTGCATTCCCGCCGTGCTGCTGGTTCTGAAAGCGTTGATGGCAAGTTCCTCCCCGGTCGACCGCAAACCGGCTGGAGACGAGCGGGATGCTGCCACCAAGTGTCTGGTGGCGGTAGCCAACATATTCCAGAAGGTGATCGAACTCTTGGCTCGCCGACTTAAGAAAAAGCCGGAAGAGAGTAAAGAGGTACGTCGACATTTGTATTCGCGACTTGATTCATTATTCTGCACCGTACCGTTTCATCTCTCACCTCCAGAAATTGTCAAACAGAGCCACCTAGTATGTTGTTGTTGTGGTTGGTTCTTAGCTGTGTCAGTCAGCTTTGGGTGGTCTCACCGACTTCCTGCATGAGGCTCAAGTCTGTAACATCAGCGGCGTCTTTGACACCCTTTTCGCCATCGTCATCGTGGAGACAAGATACGCTCTCCAGAAGGTATGTTGAAGCCCCTCAAAAGGAGATTTGTCATCACAATAATCAACTATATTCCAATAAAGTTGCAAATATGATTGAAGTGATCGAAATACATCAATTATGATAGACTGTATATGGGTATAGAATTAGATTGATGAACATAGATTGTAAATAGATGGCGAGGTACATAAAGTGTCCTTGGGTGTCTTGAAAGGCGCTTATAAATAAAATGTATTATTATTATTACTATAAAGTGGATAGGTGGTTTGATGGGTATCTTGATCGAGGGCTCGGTACTATGAAGTGAATGATGGTCTGTCCACCCAACCCACAAGATGACACACCCCGAAGAAGTTATGACTCCAGAGACCGTGCAAGACTTGCCCGCTCTTTCCGGCACCCTCCTGTCTGCCATCCTCAAGTCGCAGCCTGTTACCAGGTAAGAAAGACCTTGACAGAGATCAACTTTATCTTTTGGCATTATTGCTTCCTACCAAGCACAATTTTGTTTCTAGGATAACATGAAAACAGCTTGACAAACAAAAATGTATCAGAGTGATACTATTAGGTGGTAGTGTTAATTAACAACAAAAAAAAAAAAGAACAATAAAAAAAAAAAACATTCTGTATCCAACGGTACTTGCGTGTTGCCTTCAGGGCTTTTTTGGCTGAGATTCTCTCCTCGTTGGACTCTGACACTTTCAGCACTCTGACTGAGCTGGCCGCTGTTGTCCACCTCCTGGCGGCCCTGCGACACGGTGGGTCGAATTTTTTGTTTTAATTACTTTGTCATATAAAAAAATATTAACATATTTAACTGTAAAATGACATTTTTGCAGTGGCACAGGCCAGTACGTACTTGAAGAGAGCCGCCATAACCGTGCAGCAGCAGATAAATGCACATGCAAATGTAGAGGGTGATATCCAAGGGTAGGCTCACATCAAATGAGAGCAAATTATGAAATATTGTGGTCCATGAAGCAAAAATGTTGTCTTTGTCTTTGCAGGGTCATTTATCAATCTTCTGTGATGACGCTGAATGAAATCTTGACACTCTGGGCGGACTGAAAGAAAAAAAATGGCACATTAGAGTGCCTCCATTTTTGTATTTCTTGTATTAAAAACATTTATTTGCATGTATAGATAAACTGTTTGTGTGTTTAAGAATGGAGAATAAATTTTACACTGCAATTGATATGGAGTTGTTAATGTCTTCAGGTATGATATTCATGTGTTGTTATCCTACTATACAGGATTTTTCTAAAATGGCTGCTTCCAGTTAAAATCGCGAACTTCCTGTTCAATTGTGGCAATGGGTTTTTGAGACTAGATTACTCAGTGAAAATTAACGCAGATAATAACGCTGTTATACTTAAACACCTTTATTCCCAGCACTGATCGTTTCATAAATCGATTGGTTGATCGATGGGGAGTTGATAGCTTCATGGTGGGTATGCAGATAGATGTAATTAGATGGGTAGCTAGATTAACAGATGGGTACAGTGTATACCGTAGTTAGATGAGTAGGTAGATTGGTAAATGGGCATTTAATTAGGGTTTTAGTTAGATGGTTGGGTAGGTTGGAAGATTGTTAGTTAGATGGTAGGTTGACAACTGTGAGCTACGTAGATGGGTAGACAGATGGATCGATTGGTAAGGGAAGTAGGTAGGTAGGTAGTTATATGCTAGGTACTTAGATAACTAATTGATGGATAGACAGACAGGCAAATAAATTAATGGGAAGGTGAACTGGTTGGTAGATAGGAGGTAAATCACTTGGTATGTAGATAGGCAGCTTGAATTTCATTGCGGAATCCATTCTTTAATCCCCATTTGAGTGGCCCTTCCTCTTCACATGCCCCCTCTCCCCTCATTGCATCGATGCGGCCCTGCCTGAGCTCCTCGCGCACGTTTCCCCGCCACGACTCCGTGACGTCACGTTTAGGAGGGGCTCCTTCGTCTGACTCGGTCGCTGTTCTCGGTGCTGAAAACCACGGCCGGCCTCTGCTCTGCTGAACCCCCATTTCCCCCCCTACACACACCAAATTTGCAGCCATTTTAGCTTCTTCCGACACCCCATGCCCCCAAACCAAGCGAGCGACATGCCCCTCTAGCTCCAGCGACTCCTCTGGGGCTGCTCCCACCTGGCGTTGGCCGCAGTCATGCGCTCATAAACCGGGCATGGATTGAGCTAAGCGGCGGGATGGAGTCTGCGTGGTGTCCCGTGTTCGTCTTCGTATTGGCCGTCTGCCTCTGCTGCTTCGCACCTGCACGAACCGACGGAAGCTATGGTGAGTACGTCTTTCTCGCTTTTCAAATTTATCTTCAAATTATCACATGCGTCCTAATCTTGAAAGCAAGCAACGAAAAAAGTTGACACCGTTTATGTTCCACGCTGGCATTTGCTGGATCTTTCCTCCCCAAAACCAAAAGAAGTGTTCTAATAGTTTTTGTGTTGCAAGGTGAAATCCATACATCGCCATAGGAAAGTTACATAATATGCAACAAGGCCCAGTTAGCATCATAATAAGCTCTCCCACTGGTCACATTATTAGGTAATAGACTTGCACTATCTGGATATAATACAGTTCAAAAGATAATGGGCTGTTTTGAGGTACGCCTTTTATGCTACTTTGCGCTGAGAATTTTTTAAGAGAGCTGTGTCTAATAGTTTGGTTGGTGGACAAAGTATGGGGAAGTTCTAATTTATGCATAGACGTAATACAATGTATATGTATGTCAATATGTATATTCAGTATATATGTTAGGGCTAAAAGATAATTAAATAGCAATATGTGTCGCATTAGACACCACATCGATATCATTAAAAAATGCCTTCGATAAAATATTTGATAAATAAAAATCGGAACCCTAACACGAAGAAGAAACGTTCAACCAACGAAGAAGTAGCAGCTAGACCAACGAAGAAGCAGAGAAACCACCGAAGAAAAAAAACCGCGAAAGCAACGGAGGGCCATTGCTTCCCGCGCCCGCCGAATTGAGACGAAACGAAGGTCTGCCGCAGCTTTGTTCAATTAGATGACCATTCTTCTCAGTATAATTTTTTCAGGACGATTATTCGGTGATACGATCACACATTCCAATATCTCCGGGAGGATACACGCTGTAGCAAAAAAAAAAAAAAAAAAAAAAAAAAATGGAGTCCCCTGTCTTCGACGCCACTGTTAGCCATACCCGATCCTTGTAGTCATCCTCAAGTCACAGTCAGGCAAGTAAAATATAAAAGCAATACGGCAAAAATGAGCCCGCTAAAAAAGATAAAATACTGCTAAAACGGCTGGTAAATGGCATTGCATGCATTTTAAAGAGTGTATCATTTCACTATACTTAGATGTTATATGAACATGAATGAAGGTTAATGTAACTAAAGTTGGCCAAACAAGCTCTTTTGCCCAGACTTGTTCACTTTTTTTTACACTCTATCTGGGCGTCTGGAGGAGTTTTATAAATTCATGTAAATGTCTGGCTTTAATTGTTTTTCCACAGGACCAGTTACCGTGTGCTCAATTTGACTTTTTTTTTGGGGGGGGGGGGGTCACGCTACAAATTTCAGGCGGGATCCACGTGTTGTTCCAGGCGTGTGTGACGTCGTGGACACGGGATGAGAACCTGGAAGAGAAAGCAAGGGTAGTAGAAGAAAGCAATTCTGAGAAAGAAAATGAAACATTGAAGTGACAGTTTTTCTTCAATAATTCATATCCCTGTTATGACAGTGAAAATATAGAAATGTTTTGTATTGTAATGAACTATAACTTCAACTTTTTGAAAGGAGTGCGGCATCCATTTTGATAGCCGGTAGCCTAATGCCTCTTGATTGAAGCGTGAGCATAAACATATTAAAAAGCATACACTATATGTACTGAACACATAGTATTTATAAATCCACTTAACTATTTATTGACATCCGCTGCATCCCATTCAAGGATAGACACATTATGGTGTTAACACACTCATTATGGAGCCACAGCTCAAATTTGAGGGATGATTAATGCAGACTGCTTCATATTGAAGATCCGGTGTATATTTAGCAGCATCCTGTGCATATGTACGTCAGTAGCACAGCATGGGAAAGGAACTTCAGTGTGTGGCGCATAAATTGTATCAGCAGGCAGAAAATGCTTTATGATTTCTGCAGATGAATGGCTTTGAGACATAAAACGGTGGCAGCCGTTATAAATTCTCTTCGTGGCAGTTGTATGTATTTGGTTTTGAATGAGAGCATGAAAGAAATCCTTAAAGGGCACTTATGCTAGTCGTGTTGATGGATGGACGGAAAGACATAGTATGTAGTTAGTGGTCGCAACACGCGTCTTTGTTGACCGTCTCCATGTTTTTTGTGGATTAATAACAAGTCATACAACGTAACATGTTGTAATGGGAGCCTCAAAACGCGATCCAGGTATAGTTCACATCGCTGGGAGTCCACACATCACATCGCCATGTAATGCCTCAATGCATCCACAACAAATGGAATATGTATGGCGGTGAGTGATGATTATGATTAAAGCACCGTTACAGTACGATCTGTATCTGAATCTAATTATTTTTTAATTGATCGCCGACTTTGTTAAAGTTGATGGCTGTCCGTAAGTTCTAATGAAAAAAAAATGCATTGCTTTCACTGAGCCCATACTAATATTGTTAGTGTGTTGTTATTGAGCTATCTGATAAAAATGTCGAGATATTACATTTTAGCCACGTCGCGCAGGCCTAATTTGTTTGCCATAAACACACAGAGATTGTGAGCGACCAGCAGTTCGCGAAGGGAGTGCCAGTGGCTCCCTCGGCATTAACTCAGTCAGCTCTCCCAGTGATTTCGCTGCCTGTCAATGGTATCGAATGAGTTAAAAAAAAAAAAAAAAGGGAATTGATTGTAGATAATTAAACGGATGGGTACCGTTTTTACTGTTATCAGATGAGTTGGTACTAATGTAAATAGATTGATAGGTTGCTAACATATCTAAAAGTGCTGGGACGATAACACACATTTCAGCGTGTTCCTTCCTGTTCTGGCTGGTGTGACAACAGAAGGAGTGTGAAGAAGTTCAATTAGACCTGCTCGGAGACGCCGTTGGCAAAATAATGCCGAGCGCTCCTGGCGCCTTTGTCGAAGCACAGATCTCGCCTCCCGGGAGGCCCGATGTGTGAAAATAGCTTCATGCATTTAGACAAGGGCTTTCTGTTGAGTCATTGGGTTCTGAAAAAGAGAGCAGGACCAAAAAAAAAAGGCGTCAAAACATGGGTGGTGGGGCTTGTGTAGCTTCCGTTCTGAGAGCTAATCCACATGTGGAAATGAACACCGTCATGTCTGCTTCCTTTCAGGATGATCAATACCCGACACCAGTTGTCATTGCAGCGGGGGGGAGTGCACAGCTGAAGGTGGCAGATGCAAACCTATCTATCTATCTATCTATCTATCCTTTCAGGATGATTAATACCCGACACCAGTTGTCATTGCAGCGGGGGGAGTGCACAGCTGAAGGTGGCAGATGCAAACCCAAAGGCGGCATGGTTTTGCCCGTTGTCCGTCATTCAATTCAGGGCCAGACGATTTCTAGTTGCGCCGTTGCCGTGGAGATGCAGCCATCTTTAATTCATGGCCTGGCTGTTGCCGGGCGGACAGGCATGTCGCCAGGAATTGGCAGAGAGCGACCTGCATGGGAATTCTGGGAGACAGTCGGCGTTGAATGCGTCAGGCTCGGTTGCACCTGCACTCTCGGTTGGATTGCATGCGCGTTCATTCAAAATTTGAATGTGCTTACAAGTCATCTCTTTTCGCATCTTATGTCCAAAATGGAGCATAGAAAGGCACAGAGAGAAAATTTGTAGATACATGCTTTGGACTGGACAACAAAAATGTTCCTACTTGATGTTAATTAATCCTTGAGGGTTATTAAAAAATTATTGTTAAAAACACACACTTGCTCACACACATCCAAACTTGGAGATACTTTAAGTTTCAACCAATGATGAAAATGTCACTTGAGTGTTTTCCTAAAACAAATATTCATCCTCAACGTGCTTTTTATTGCACAACACAGATGACTTCCAAACTTGCAGATACAAGGTTTTCACAGAACAGTGTAACTTTGCCACTTCTCTGTTTTTTTTTTTGGGGGGGGGCAACTTGTAAAATTTGGAGACGCGTGCTTTTTAGGCTTGAAAAGCTCAGGATTTTAGAGCTGATCACCTGTCAGTGAGTTACAAAAAAAAAAAATCACTGATTTGATCAGAAGTGGTCCACTTATTTATTGTACAGTCGGACGCCCCACTCTTGGCATCAGCCCTGCTCATGAATAACCAAAATTCTCATATAATTAACGCACTTTGAAATGCATTTGGAAAAAGTAGTCAGAATGAAACCCATAGAATTCTCCCCCAAACCCCAATAAATATCCTGAAAATGTGGGTGGGGTGGGAAACAAAATAGTTGAGGAATGGCGAGATACTTGATTTTTATTTCACTTTTCATTTATGTAAATACAAATATCCATCCATCCATCCATTTGCTGATCCGCTTTATCCTCACAAGGCTCGCGGGGGGGTGCTGGAGCCTATCCCAGCTATCTTCGGGCAGTATGCGGGGACACCCTGAACTGGTTGCCAGCCAATCGCAGGGCACACACAGATGAACACTCACACCTAGGGACAATTTAGAGTGTTCAATCAGCCTGCCATGCATGCTTTTGGAATGTGGGAGAAAACCGGAATACCCGGAGAAAACCCACCCAGGCACGAGGAGAACATGCAAACTCCTGTGAGGTCGACGCGCGAACCACTCGACGACTGGGCCGCCCTAAATACAAATATTAATCTGGAAATACAAGTCAACAGGAATGAAATATTCTTTTTTTAAAAAAAATACAACATTTGGCGGTACTGTATTTACCAGCCTCCTGCAAAACCTCCAAAGACTCCACACTTTTTGTCATGCTTCAAAATTTGACCACTTAGCACATGGACATTGTTTTAGTCTGGATGCTTCATTAAGATATAGACTGGATAATTGTTGTTTCACCTGTATTCTTCATCGCTAATCAGCTGCATCAATGTAGATTACGTTTTTAATTAAAAGGCGTAATTTTTAATCATCTCCGCCATAGTGGCGGAGGGAAGAGGATGTGGCTTTTATCAGCTGTGCATACGCAGACGCGCGGCTGGATGCTTGATTTAATGCAAGGTCCTAATTAATATTGAGAGCTGACACGCTCTTCGGTTAAATTAAGGCAAAAAGTGATGAGGAGGTAAAGTAGGCCTGTCGCTCTACAAAATGCAAATTGCGTGTTTAAAAACCCCCACTGGGCATTATTTCTACTCACAAGGTGGAACAAAAAGTGATGTGCACTTTCTTTGAAAATACTTTTGTCACTTTCTCTCCTCTTATCGTTCGAAACTCCTCTTTCGCCAACTTTTTCATTTTTGCCTCACGTTCCCTTCCTGATGCGACAGAAAATTTGGCGAAAAAAGTTTTTTTCCACTCAAAACAAATTGCAATGTGATGTCAGAAAATGAAGAGAACATCATTGTAAAAGTACAGTAAATAGTAAATAAAGCAAAAATCATGACATGAAATCTGATAACTTTTTTTTCATTGCATTTACGATTTAAAAAAAAAAACTATTAGCTTAGCTTTACTTGAACTTATGAATCCTATTTTTTTTTTCATCAGAAAATGAAGAGAACATCATTGTAAAAGTACGGAAAATAGTAAATAAAGCAAAAATCATGAAATGAAATCTGGTAACTTTTTTTTCATTGCATTTAAGATAAAAAAAAAAAAACAACTATTAGCTTAGCTTTACTTGAACTCATGAATCCTATTTTTTTTTTTTCTTCCAGGTTGCCTGTTTGAAGATGACCTTTGCCAAGCTTACGAGTTCTGTGTAAACGGTAAGCCCACTTTTTAAAAAAATATTTTGGGCTAGTTTTCTAGTTAATACCGAATTACCCCAAATCATTTAGTATTTTAATTATATTCAAAATCTGATTATGACGCCTAATATGAAGCCGTTATGGAAATAGTGAAGTCTGCTTAAGTTGCCTGGTAACTCGGCGTCGCTGGTGATGAGTCGCAGGAAATGCGGGGGTGGCGCCACTTCACTTTCTCCCCCCGAAGCGCTAACCTGCTTTACTCTCAGCGCAGTTTCTAATAACATTTTCATGGAGGCCTCACAACATAACAAAAGTAAGCTTTTGTCTCCCCAGGACAAAAAAAAAAAATCTTTTTGTTATATAAGGAAGGCAGGCAGACTGGCAATGACATAACAGGTCTGTTAAATGTTTGATGTGCAGCATCTCTTTTGGGTTTCCATGGCAACGGGGCTCGATGAACTCATTGAATCCCTCTCAATCGCACGTTTGACGGGAGTTCGATTGATTTGTAAGGGCCACAGATTATTGTGTTCTATTGCCTTATAAACATGCAAGTGTAATAAAGGAAATAGGATGCAACTCTTATTTTCTTTCGGCGGAAAAAAGTTTGTTTCCCTCTTTAGCCATCAGCATGACAAGGGCCACAGATTATTGTGTTCTATTGCCAAATAAACATGCGAGTGTAATAAAAGAAATAAGATGCAACTCTTTTCTTTCGGCGGAAAAAAAGTTTGTTTCCCTCTTTAGCCATCAGCATGAGAAAATTGCTACATTTGATCAGATTTCCATTTTCTGAGGTTAAAAAAAACAAAAAAACGGAGAAAAAGACCTTTTATGCAAAAGCTTGCATTTCAAGCATAATTTCAAATACGGCGTGGCTATTTTTTTTCTTTTGTGACATTTCAAACATTTAGATACGACTTTCCTTCTCCAAAAGAGCATAAACAGCACCACAATGGGGCTTTTGAAAACCAAAATATTGATCTGCACTCTATTGAATGGATAAAATGAACTATGAACAGAAGTGAAACAATGACTTCACACTCATTCACTGACTGACTGACTGACTCAATCCAATTTTTTTTTCACGTTTTGTGTCCTCTTGCAGATCTTATTCTATTCTGTTTTATTCTATTCTGTGACATGCCATTTTATTGGAGGGTATTCTCTGAATTCTAAACAGTCAAAGCACCTACAATGACTAAATACGTCCCTCTGTTAATCATGTCTGGATCATTTTGAAGTTATGAAGGAGGATTCTTTTTTTTTTTTTTCCTTCCAGTAGCTAAACAGTTAGGGGCCATAAATCCAGACGGGCCATAAATCCAGACGCCACTCCACCCACACACTGCAGCCTGCTATCTACAACGTGAACGCTAATGCGCCGGGAAGGAGACAGCAATGTAATGATGTAAAAAAAAGAAAAGAGAAAGGCGATGAAGACAACTGATGACATATTCGGACACGTTTGGACGGGTGTATTGGCAGCGCAAATCAATATGTCCAGACAGGCCATGATGTCGAGTGCAGATAAACAGAGCCCTCTCCTGGTTCGTGTGATTGATGAAGTGCCACACTTATCTCATCGGACTGTTTTGTCTGGGAAGTAATTAGACTGAGTTAATACAGAAAAGAAAAAAAGAAATGTTAAAAGGCTTATTATGCTTACAGCCTGCATGCTAACAACCTGTTATCATAATATTCTGGAATATCTTGTTCCCCATTGAACAGATGAACTGGTGGGATGCTGACATGTATGCTTATGTATACATATAGTGTTGTAGCCTGGTACTGTTGTTAAAGAAATTTGATAAAATATCAACAAATTGAGTTTTTTTCTTGCCCAGTAGCGATGTATCATTACTAATGACGATTGCTAAAATGCTAACAGTCAGTATGCTAACATATCGTCGCTGTCCTGCGAAAAGCACGGATGCCGGTTTTTGTCCATTTTGAACGTGTTCGTGAATGGGGTATTTTCCTTCATAGTGTCTCTCTTCAAAGTGCTTCCGATGCGGTTCAAGTGATCCAAAGCTGTGATCGTCACTCACATCCACGACAACATTCGAATTGAACATACAGCGTGGGCTTTAATAGCCCCGAGTGTGGGTGAGGTGACCACCAAATCAATACAACACAGCTGGTTATTTGTTTATAAAGGACCCGGGCCACGCACTTGGGGGAGGTAACATGTAGCACTTATCTGCTGGCCTTGGGCTTATAAAAGCAGTAAGCCAAAGAGCCACAAGAGACTTGGAGCGAATTAAATGTCTTTCTGTACGCTCAGACGAGTAGTGTGGCTTTCCATAAGTGTTCCATATGGCCATTTACATCATCTTCAACAATAAAAATGACGCTTCGTTAAAGGAAATGGCGTAAAATAGTCAAGACAGTGCATGATGTGCTGCTTGGTGCCGTGCGACGCTGAAATCGGCAAAGAGGATGTCCACAAATCTGAGCATCAGCTTTGTTTTGTTGGCGTCGCTATATTGAGAACACCTGTTGAAAACACAGTGCTTGATATGCTGCTTGTTGCCTGATTACACTTTTGGGTTTTGCCATTTCTATCCAGTCAAGCGGATGGAATTATATGCATCTTTATTACATTTCAGCCTACTCCAGAGGTCCCGGTCAGTCATCCAGAACAACCGGTTGGCTCTGGTTGCCTGGCGACCCAAATTGAGCCAGCCTGATGTGCTAGATTAGCATAGTAGCCCACCCACCCCCCTACCCTCCAATCCCTATTCCACACCCACACGCACACACACTTCCCGAACTCTTTATAAAAGAGTTGTTGGTATCAGCAAAGGAGCTGCTTAACGGGGTAGAATGTCACAGAACGAGGACACCTCTGTTTGCTGTTTGTATATTTTGTTCATGGTCCTGTTCTTCTGGTGCGCAGACGGTGTTTTCGGAAGGTGTCAGGAGCTGGCTGGCGCAGACCTGAACACGTACGCTGTGTCTTCCTCCAGTTTGCTGCGCCTCAGGACGCTCTTGCAGAAACTAGCTCACAGAGGTATGCCACCATGGGAAAATTAATTATGCTAACATGTAGCAAGATGGACACAAGAGTTGCGAGCATGCCAAGTTAGATTGATGAGGATTTTATGTCATTCACCGTAGCCGGGTATCATTTTTAAAATGACAAATCGCGGTCGGTATGCAACAAGACAGTCACCTGAGTAATAAAAGCACTAAGGTAGGTTGATCATGATTGTATATCTTGTCCTGTAGGTAGTACCATTTCTCATGAAGTTGTTGCTAACATAAAGCAACGTAGCCACCTGAGTAAAGAAAGGGCACAAAGGCAACCTGATATCATTTTATATATGGTTTTTATCATTTTTAAAGAATTTGCTAAAATGCTAACAGGCTAACAATTGGTGTGCTAATATATAGCAAGATGGTGTTATATTCATCAGGATTTTACGTTCCCCCTCCAGTATATGTGTTTAAAGAACTTCATAAATGTTCCCACTAATTTCTTTCTTCCGAATGTGTTTTATAATTGAGACGGAGTCAAAATGAACACATCCACTGTCATCTTAACCCATGCACTCCGCAATTCCTGCCTAGCAACAAATGGCTGCTACGCTAGCTTTCCTGCTGTCCCGCATTTTTTTAGGTTCCACATAAAAATATTTTTAAATATTAAATAAAAATTAAATATTTTTAAATAGCACATGTAATGCAGTGGTGGACTAGTGGTTTGCACGTCCGCATCTCAATCCCGTGGTTCTGGTTTTGAATCTCTGCTATGGCCTTCCTGCGCATGTCGGATTCATTGAGATAATTGTGAGTAAATTTTTAATTTTGTTTTGGGTGCGTACCTGTCATGGGCTCTGTGATTGGCTGGCGACCATTTTAGGGAGTCCCATGGCCACCCTCTTCCCCAAAAGTCAGCCATTCCCTCCCACAATCTTAATGAGGCCGCTATTCCCCTTTTGCGCCTTCGGCGGACGGCAAAAAAAAAAAAAAAAAAAAATTGAAACTGTTGAAACTCCTGTCAACCGTATAGTCCTGTCTCTGTTTATTGAAGCGATTATCTTCTAAAAATGGTCATATATTGCTTTGCGGTCGGATGTACTAATAGACAGGGGTGTAAATCAAACCTGGCTCTTAGCACATGCCTGCTGATGAAGATAAAAGACGGCCATGGATAGCAGCAATCAATCGAAAGGACTGGATACCCTCAAACTATTTGAGGATTTGCAGTGATAATTTTTCACAAGGTTAGTATCATTGTACATATATTTTACTCAGTTACTACATGTTGCTGGGTGCAAACAGGATCATGTGTGTGTGTGTGTGTGTGTGTGTGTGTGTGTGTGTGTGTGTGTGTGTGTGTGTGTGTGTGTGTGTGTGTGTGTGTGGGGGAATAGGAGGGGGGGGGAATGTCAGTTAGCATCATAAGGAAGTTCTACCTTCGCCATTACAATGTATCTTGTCCCTTCGGTGTGAGCGTAGCATCTCGTCCCAGGGACCCAGCCAGCGACAAAAAAAATAAAAATAAAGGTATGCGTCCAGACTTTTGTAAGCTTTTAAATCAGCTCCAGTGTAAGGGATATGAAAACACAATGATAAAGGTCGTGCGCTGTGAACTCCCGCAAAGCCGGTGATTTGATTGAAACAGTGAACGCAGCAGCCGGCAGTTGAAATAGAGGATGTCATGGCTAGATGGGCAAAAAATAACTCATACAGTGGCTAAATCGCTCCTTTTTTCATCCACCTTGATTCGGCAGTCATTAACTTTTGCTGCCCGTCATGGTGCACTCACGTGATCGCGTGACGTAGCCGCAACGGGTCAATAAAATATATCATGGATGGATGAGTCGCATAGTACACGCTGAGTAGACTGTAACTGCTGTGCTGACCCACCTGGGGGCAGTAGATGCCTTCAACACAAACAGGACCACAAACATGGAGGTTAAGTCCCCCCCACCCACCCACTCAGTGCAAACATAATTGGCTTTTGCAGGCCATTCTGAGCTTAATATCTTGTAACAGGCGTGAACCATTAACAGTCAGCAGTCAACCGGGAGAAGGGGGGGTGAATAAAAAAGTGAAAAGGGGAGGGGTGGCATGAAATGAATTAAACGTTGGAGGGCCCTTCGTTTAAACTCCGACCTTGAGGCGGTGATGTCATCGCTTTGGGTTTTATCTCCCCCACAGCTCACCGTGCGGTGCCTACCTTTTTTTTTTTTTAAATTCGGCGGAGCATCGTCTCAGCGGTGCTGTCGGGGAGGTTTTGTGGTTGGGTGTGCGAAAATGGTGAGGAACGTCAATGGAATCGATTGACAATCCCCCTTATCTCCAAAATAGTGTGTTCGTCACATCAATAGGCCTCCAGCTTTGTCCAACAAAGCAGAAGAAGAGGCATCAAAATACCACAATGTTCAAGAGATACAGCACACTTTTCACACATTGCTAATATTAGCATATTTGCTCGAGCAAATGAGTGTCGGTATACCTCACCCCATATTCTGGCTGGACCAATGGCTTGCCTGCTAGCTTGTTGCGACTTGGTGAACAGCTTCAACTTGAAAAAATACTGCATGCGGCCAAAAAGAAAATGCAGTGAAACTCCTCTACAACGAAATCATGTTTGCAGCAAGAAATTTTTCACAACAGGGGTTTTTTCACTGTAGCAAATTTGATCTCGGATGAAAAAACACACACACACACACACACACACACACACACACACGCACACACACACAAACGTATGTGTACACGCATACACAAACGTATGTGTACTCTTTATTTTAATTCCAATTGTGCATAAGTGTGAGCATACACTTATTTGACACTTCATATAGTCAGTGTAGAAACAAAAAAAGGGAAAGAAATTGCGAAATTTACGATCAGCATTCACTTTCACTTACATCAATTTTTTGGATAATGTCTTTTATTTTGCTTACTCCATCTTTCATTTTGATCACTTTTACCTTCTCTTCCAGCGTCAGAGCGCTTCTTGTCTGAGCTGCTTGACATCCAAAGGTCCGTTTTGTAGCAATTTTAGCAATGCAACGTTCTTGCTGCATCTGAAACGAACAATAACAAATACTTCCTGGACTACTGCGCATGTGCAAACCAGTGTGGTGATTGCTGTTTCCGTTTCCGAACGAAGCAGTAGAGGTCGCTGTTGGATTCGACTTCGTTGTAGTGAATCTCGTCGCGAGGCAAGAGCAGAGAAAAAGATATCGTATAACGCAACAGGGTTTTTTTTTCATTGTATGGGGGGCAGGAAAGTGGGAATGGTGTTAATGAATGAAGACTTTTTCACATTAGGGGGTATTTTCGCCCATGTAGGTTTCATTGTCGAGGAGTTTCACTGTAATGGCATTTTAACTTGAAGAGGCAGAATTTCACAGACTACACTGTGTGTAAAGCAGCCAACAAATCTCAGTGCAGCTCTGCTTACCTTTTGGTTTTGGCAGGATAGCAAAAGCATTACAATGGAGAGCGGGTAAGGGTGCAATCCAGACTTCCACAGAGACAGACTCCTGATGAATGATGCAGTGAAGGAAAATGACATCCTGCTCTGGGCTTTGTTCCTTTCCAGCAATCTGCTGTTTTTTTTTTTTTTATTTTCTAATGTTAAAAATTGACGATCCATCTGAGGTGACAATTGCGAGTTTACACCAAGGTAGCCTCATTTTCTCGATGACAGCGGTCACCTGTTCATACAAGTGCGAGCAGTTGTTAGCTGGAGGGGGAGGCGGTGGGGGTGAAGTTTTGTTAATATGAAAAACTCGGATTAAAAAAACTGAACAAAAAAAACAAACGTAATCTGTCAAGGCAAACCCGTGACCGTGAACATAGCGTACATGTCGTACGGTGCATTTAGCGTCGGGAGAGCGAGCTTTAATGTTAGCATTCAGCTGGCGTGAGTGTGAGCGTAGGCGTCAGGGTCATTTTAAAGTAACCTGCTTTTAGTGTGAGCAAAATCATTTCCGTCTTTGTTGTTTTGTTCATTTGTTTGTTTGCTCCTTGTCAAGGTTGCTGCTGTGACTACAATATGAAATGACTCAAGCAGGGCGCTTGTAATGCAAATTAGCTTGGCCTTTAGCCCGACCGAGACTATAATGATGCTTTTAAGGCATCGCCGCGCTGTCAGAAATGCCACAAATGGAGCTTTTGTTTAAAAAAATATATATATATATGTTATGTTAGCATCATGGAAGCTGCTGGGTTGCTTTTCTATACATTTTTGCACCATGTTATACTTTTCTCAGCTTTTTAAATTAGATTTGATTTAAAGCGCACATTTGTGTAGAGTGCAGGGAAAGAAAACAAAGACCATAAAAGGATTTTTAACTCTTGGGTGCAGTAGGGATGGAAAAATCATCTCAACGTCATGAGACGATAATTATCCCGATATTGTCGGAAGGTTAGCAACATAAAATAAGCTTATGAAACTCACGATATTGTGAAAAAACTCATAACTCGAAAAAAAAAAGCACAATATTTTGTGTAATTAAAAACAGCACCGACAAAGAATTAGGATTGGCCAATCATTTCATTGTCATGTGCTCCTATCAGCTCAGCGGCGCAATGCATCATGGTCTATGTTGTTCACAATGCTGAAGCGGGCGAAAAGTAATCTTTTCTTGACGAAGGTGTTGGCAAATAATTTGCTGGTATTGACTGATTTATGGGAGTGATTATCGCTGCAGTGCTTCTGGTTACAACATAGTTTGGACCACGCAAACCAGGTTTTCCCTTTTAATTTGTGCGTTTGTGTGTGTGTGTGTGTGTGTGTGTGTGTGGGTGTGTGTGTGTGTGTGTGTGTGTGTGTGTTTGAGAGAGAGAGAGAGAAGACGTTTCAGCGTTTCACTTCAATGTCTTCACAAATAGTCTTTGCTAGTTGCTTTTATTAGTACTATGCCATCGAATGTGAGCAAGTTTTTATCATTTTGGTCCACCTTAAAAACGCGGGTTGGAGTGCCCTTTCGTCACCGCTCACGGCTTTAATTAATGTTGAATTTTTAATAAGTTAGAAACAAAAGCAGGTCTTTTTAAAATGCTCTCTTTTCCTTGCCACTTGTTAAATGACATTGGTGGACTGAAATAAATGTAGATTCCTCCACTTTCTACTTGACAGCTTTCATTTTTTTTTTTGTTTTCTTTTTTTTTGCTTGTCCACACTATGAAAGTATTCACGCTCTCTTCTACTCACGCCCTTAAAAATCACACCAAACTAATTAAAATCGCCATTTTCAAAAAGCCACCCGATGAGAGGAATGAGGAATGTTTGAGGGTGGCGTGTTTTTTTATAAGCTCGGAATGCTCAAAAGGCTCACGCACGTAAAGCAGGTCGGCATGTGTATTCGACTTATTTGAAGGCTGCAGCGTTTGGTGGTGAGGTGTTAATTAACTGACGGAAGGGATGGATGGGCTCCTCTGAAACAAGTGACCTGGCAAAAATAAATAACTAATAATTCTGCTGATCAACAAGTGCAATTTTGCTGATATGTTTCGCTTTGTATTCGATCTAGCAACAAACAAATGGACTGGTTAAAAAAAAATAATAATAAAATAATAATAATAATAATAATACCGTATTGGCCCGAATATACGACGGCCCTGATTATAAGACACCACCCTCTTTTTCAAGACTCAAGTTTGAAAAAAGACTTTTTGAGCACCAAATTAATTTTTATACAGAAAATAATTACAGTACATCTGAAACAAATGATTCTAACACTATATTTGAGAGAATAAGCATGTTATTTTGCGTCATTCAAATCTTAACATCTGAACATTTAAATATGTAAACTAAAGTGCAATCACATTCGTAAATGAATGGCTTCTGGTTTTTGAAATGTAAATGACATCATCACTTCTCCTCAGCTGCCGGTTAACCTGGCTGATCTTTGACCCCCTTTTCTCCAGATTGTCGCTATGTTTCTCCATTTTCTGTTATCTCTTCTATTATTTTCTTCTCAGACCCCGAATATAAGACGTCCCCCACTTTTTCAGTCTTATTTCAATGCAAAAAACACCGTCTTATATTCGAGCCAATACGGTCATAATTCTACCCAGCAACATGTGACCAGTGATAGAAGAAGCAAAAAAAAAAAAAGCCACCAACAGGAACATTTGTGGAACTAAATTCTGCCTGGATTTCAGCCCATACTGATATGTGATTACAAAAAAACAAACATACCTGATAACATTAACGATGAAGCCTAAAAACTGTGGAACCACCGAACGTCTCATATGATGAAGAAGCATAAATCATTGACCATCTCCGGTATTTCCCCTGCTCTCCTCCTTTTGGCTCATTGAGCATGTTGGCCATGTTTGGGGTATCGTGTTTTTTTTCCCCCTGCTTGGGTAGCTCCATCTGGTCCTGGGCATCCTGGCACTGTGCCCTCTCTGCCTCTCTGGAGTTGTGTTCTGCAGCTATGTGTTGGCAATTAGCGGAGATGTTGGCACTGTGACACTCTCCCTGAGCTTGCTGTCTGGCCATGGTCTGCTCACGCGTGTGTGTGTGTGTGTGTGTGTGTGTGTGTGTGTGTGTGTGTGTGTGTGTATACATATTTGTCGATGGCCCACAACAATGCATCACACTGAGAGGCCCTGTCATACAAACTACACTCGGGACCAAAGACACTGATAAAATGTATTAATTTCTTCTTGGATAGTGTGATATAGTTATATGCATGAATTTGTATGATCAAAACGATGGGTGTGCTTTTACCTCCTTCAGGTCTTACGTGGCACGATGACATCACGCAGCAGGTGATCTCTCGAGAGCTCTCCAAACTGAGGAGCAGCCCCGTCGGCCGTCACGAGGCATCGGAGGTGCCCCTCGAGTCAAACAGCGGGACTGCAGGCAAGAATGCGAGGCCCGCGAAAGCGGAGCTGAGCAAGAACCTTCAGCGCTTCCTGAAAGGCTTGCACTTCCCGCCACCGCTGCAGCCTGGAGTTCAACAAGAGGCAGCCAACACTCAGGTCAGAAGCTGTTAAAAATGGATTTTACATTTAATACATAGTGGTGGTGAGGCAAAATAACAAAAGAGCATTATGAGGACTTCTGGTGCCCTAAAAATCCGCCTGGCAACAAGTGATCAGGCAAGGAAAACCATGAAATGTATTTCTAGCATTTCTGTTTGTGCACTCTGAACTCTGCCTCGCAAAAAGTGACCCAGCAAAAAGGAGCAACATTTTAACAATTATGATAGATGCGGCCCATCGAATTCTGTTTAGCAACAAGTGACAAGTAAAATAGTGCATTTTTCATACTAGTATGTATATTGCCCTGTGGATTCAGCCTAGCAACAAGTGACAACCAAAATAAATCATTCAAGCAATTCTGTTAACATAGTTAAAAAACAAAAAAAAGAACATTCTCTCCAGCACCAAATGACCAGATATTAACATTTCAGCCCTTCTGTTGACACAAGTGTCAATCTAAAATGAGCACTCTCATTAGACCATCCATTAAAAACTGTTCTTGTTGTGGCCTGACTATAGAATGAAGGTCTCACCGTTGACGGTCCTCCGGATCGTGGTCCACCAAAGTTGGGCTGGAAGGAGACCAGCATCTACAGTCTCCAGAACGGAGTGGACCAACCCCCCAACACCAAGGTCTTCTCTCAGAGCGGCGAGGGCAGGCACCCTAAGCTTAGCGCCCCCTACAAGACCCTCTCCAACCACTTGGAGCAGCTCTTCAGGGAAGGTGGACCATCGGGGTCCAAAGGGAAGCTCCGCTACCTCGGCTATGTGCGCCCACCCCCAGATGAAGTTCGCTTGGCTTTTGGTTCCAAAACCCCGAAACCCAATCTGGATGGATTGTTGTTCAGGAGCGGGTCCAACCAACTGACCGCCAAGAAGCCCCCTAATTTCATGAACGGTAACAACCTGCTTGACAGCTAACATTGACATTCTTAAGTTCTCAGATGCGCTAAAGGCTAACAGCAGCTTGCTAAGGTTCATAGACATGGTAGTCCAAGATGCTAAAGGCTAACCTTTTGCCCTAAAAATGCAGCATGTCATTTCTTGTCTTCTGTCCCAGATCATTTGTTCCAGGATATGATCAAGCATTTGGGAGTGCACAGCTTCAACATGGACCCTTGGATGAGCAAAGACTTGGACCAACTGGCTAACATCCTCACCGGAGCTCTGCAAGAAGCCGAGGCGAGGCAACCAGATCCTGGGGCCCAGCCGGGACCGGGAACCGGCCAGGTTACGGAGGGAGACGGGGACCTAATAGCTGGAATGGAATCAAACCAAGTCTTGAATGTGAAACCGAGCAAAGTACTGGATGTCAACCCGAAAGTCCCTTTGATATTTGGACAAGGTAGGGGAACATTCAGTATATACCTGTATGTGGCGCCAGATAGCTAGTGGCTAACACAAGTGGCTCGCTTTTTGTCACGATTTCAAGACTTCTGTTTTCCCACTTGTTTCCAGGCCAACAAGAAGAGGGCGCAGCCAACAAGGAGCCTGTTGACAAGGTGAATTCCAATTGATTGGTCTCCAAAAGTGACACATTAGTTTGGGGAGGAAGAGGCATATATCCACACTGAAACTTTGTCACATGATCTTGATCGGGAGCACATCGAGACCGCATGCGTTGCTAAATTCCTGGAACGGCAAGGCAAAAGCTTGATCGAGTTTCACTAAAAGAACCCTTTAATTGCATATTTTCAGTCTGCAAATATCGCAATGAAACTATTTGGTAAAGGCTCATTCTGTTTTTGATAACTTTACACGGTTTCTCTGAAAACATTTTGCTTCAACCCATCCAGGCTTTTGCCGACTTAATTAAAGTAAAGTCATTCACAGCGTCACTAAACCTTGGAGCATTACTCATAGTCATTGCTTGTAATTGAAAACATCATTTAAAAAAAAAAAAAAAATATATATATAATTTTTTTAAGCTTATGCCTTTTTTCTTAAACGTGTAATTTTTTTTCCTCAAAAATATGTACCTTTCTGTCTCAAAACATGCATTTTCATTCTCAAATGAATACCAATTGATTGTAAAAAAAAAAGAAGCACATTTTAATCAAAAGTATAGGACCTTTTGAGAATAAGACTTTTTAAATTAATAATACACATTTTCTCACACAAGATTTTTAAATGCAGTAGACATCAGTCGCGCATATTTTGAGAGTTTTTGTATTTATTGCAGCATACGGCCATTTTCTCCAAGCTCCTCGACTATCTTGACAATTTTGGGGACTCCTCCGAGGTCCAACCTGCTCCTGGCGAAAAAGCGGTGGGCCTGGAGAGCGTCCGGAGCCGGACCACGCAGTCCCAAGGTGCAGAGAAAGGCATTTCGGCACCTGCGAGGGAAAGCCCCACCATACGCTTGATTGGCGCCGAGGCGAGGCCGGACTCCGAGATGGGAAAGTGGATGCACAAACCTGCCGGCAATGACATGAAGGTGAAAACTCAGCTGGTCCACGTCGGACTGAAGGAGTTTTCCAGCAGAGGGAAAGACAGACATTTTGGATACATCATAACCGGCTCAGAGTGAGTACATAAAGAAGGGCTTTCTGAATTTGAGTTGGTGACATTTCCCATTAATCCCAATAAAAATGAATGTTAGTTGTTTCTAATTACAAATAGCAATACTTAGTTCAGGGATGTCAAACTGATTTTTGTCACGGGCCTGATTTTAGTTCCAGTTTCCCTTGGAGGGCCGTTATGACTGAAACCATATGAAGAAGTCCAGAATAACGGTTTATTCACCTATGTTTTAAGTTACTGTAATGAGGAGTTTGGTAACAAGAAAATGCTTCCAGTATCCCTCTTATTTATTACATATGAGAATTTGAAATTTTGGTCGAGATTTTAGCAAGCATCATGAAAGTTGACATCTTTGATTTGCTTTCGCGGGCCACAGAAAATGATGTGGCGGGCCAGATCTTGCCCCCGGACCATGAGTTTGACACAGTGACTTAGTTGTTCGGGGAGTATGAAAATTGCACATTAATGTGATATCTGTAAAGCGCATTTTTAATTTCAATTTAATAAAATCAAATATCCATGTATGTATACAACTCTCGACATCTAAAAAATACATGACTAGTTTATTCTTGTAATTTTCCCGATACCGAAGGCACAGTCTTAATACTTCATCAAATGTAGGATATGGACTTAATTTTGCGTAATGTGTAATGACTTTGTTTTCTTCTTTGGATGGACCCAATTGTCGTTCCCATCTGGAGATGCCAGTCCATTCCCGGCCAAAATTGCCGCGCAAATTCTGGACCCCCCTAAAAAAAGTGTTTTTCTGTGCTCTATTTAATGATGATAATCCATGAGAAACTGTGCTGGGGTAATTATTATCCACTGCATCTTTGCACCCCCTGCGGCCCTCCTTCCAATCCCTTTATGGTGTTTTCATGTGAGTTGTCCTTCACCTGTGTCGCGCTGTAAAGTCACCACACCGTGAGTGGGCGCAGAATTTTTTTTTTCTTTAAAAAGGACGCATCATCGGCCTACCGAGGGGTCTGCTCACAGTGAGTGGATGGCAACCTGCTTATCTGACTGACAGCTCGTGACATGAAGCTGCTGCTTTGGGGATAGGAGGAAAGATCGGGAAGCGAATAAAGGAGACAGAGAGTAGTCGCCCCATGGGGGGCGGGGGTTGGGCGAACGCTTGCATCAACAGGCGAGACGGTCGTGGAGCTCACAGCTTGCCAAAACTGCCGAGGAGGGACGTAAACGTGCCTGGAATGTCTTCCGCCAAATCGGAATAATCCAGAATAACTGTCTGACTGGTTCAAGGTGACGCTGTTCCACTCTGCTGCTGTAGGTGGCAGCTTGGTCTGCTTGGTGGGTCGCGGCCCATCTTTTTCCAAATAAAATGTAATCGGTCCTTCTTTGGCCCGGACACCACTCCAGTACAAAGTTACTACTAATCTGACCGACCAATTAACCATAATTCTTGCATAAACTTTGGCCAGAGCGAATTAACCAACCAACCAGCCATATCCGAAGTGTAATAAATTCTCATCTTACAAACTGCAATCCAAGCTTCGTATATTGAACTAACAACCTGTTATGTCATTCACAAACCGACTATCCAAGAATAAAAATCCGGCCGAGTTGAGCTCCCTGTCGTACTTAAAACTCATTCACTCCCAAAGACATTTTTAAATGTCTGTTCAGACTTGGTCTAGAATTGGCTGGTACTGAACTGTGATTCAAGCATAGCTAAATATGTTTAAAATTCTTTCAAGGTTACGTAACCCTTTCATGCACCCTGTAACCTGATAACATGATAAAATGTCAACTGTAGTAACCGCTGTCCCTGAAAGGATTAAGGTCTGTGATCCCATCATAACTTCTCCCAGAACAAACGAACATCCGACCGGATGGACAGACTAACCAACAGACGAACCACTGACTGAAACTAACTGAGAAAAAAAACGAGCGAATCTAAACTTTCATCCGAGCGTAACTACTGACGAAACTTCTCTTTGCTCTCAGCATAACCGACCAACTGACCGAACCATCCAATCAAACCAACAGCGGTCTTAGCATAACTTCACTTTTAACCATTTTATCAACGAACTGTTATTCAAGCATAACGTCTTACCTTATTGACTGACTAACTCACAAACTCGCAAAGCGCAGTACAAACATCGCTTTGTATATTTAACCAACAAAAATACAATCCCGGTGATCCATTTTGTCTGGTACACGCAGCAGTTTCCAAAGCAAAGAGTACCAGCTTAACCGAGTATCGCTGTTGTTTTACCTCACAATCGCAGTGGCTCAACCAAACTCGGTGTTGACCATACATATAAAAATTGGCAGTTGTGAATATTGAAAAAGTTTTAACAATCACCATTGTCAATCTTTTTTGTCTTTTACCGACGTTTGACAATCGGGCCTTTAGTGGCTTTGATCGAAAGTGCGTAGTCGTGCTCAAATTAGGCCCTGTTATTTGTTTGCTTAACTCATTCAGTTCCAGCCAATTCTAGACCAAGTCTGAAAAGACGTTGAAAAACGTCTTTGGGAGTGAATGAGTTAACTAACCACGGTCCAAACAAAACACTCATTCAGGAAAAGCAATATCCGTGAATCCTTGAATAACTTTCTTCTTTGAAAGCCACGGTTTGTCGTTGCAGCAGGGCCTCAACGCGATCCCTGACTTTTTGTTGACCTTGCCGCCTCGTGACGCCATTCTCTGTTAAATCGACAGCAACCAAGTAGCTTTCTTGTGTGTCCTTCTCATTTATTTTGCCTTGCGCCTTTCTCCAACCCCACCACCCCCTCCTCCTGCAAATTACCTTTTGTTTGGTCTATTTCCTCTGCGATTTAGTCCGAGAGAGAGAGTTAGAGAGAGAGCGAGAGAAGACGTGGACTGAGCTGAGATGAGGCATGGCTTTATCGGACCGCCATTACACTTCACCTCCATTCCATTTGCACCTTATTATTCTCGTCTGGCGGTGAGGGGCGCGTGTTCCTGCCCGCCGCGTTTGTGTACTCTCACTTTGGGTGTGAGAGAGCGAGCGAGCGAGAGAGAGAGAGAGAGAGAGGATGGTGTGCAAAGAGCAAGAAAGATGAGAGGAGGAGGAGGAGGGAAATGGCGGAGAGGCGCATCCATATGATGCAGCCATTACACCTCATGCAGGTTCCATTTGCACCTTATTGTTTGTCTCATTGCGGGAACAAAAGCAGGTGATTTAGCAAGCCCAAGGAGGCAGCTGATCCCTCCCGCCTTTTCCCTCGATGCCGTTTGTGTGATTCGGAGAAAGTGGTAATATGAATACTTTGTTACTGTACTAAAGTAGATTTCTCAGGCGTCTGCAGTTTGAGTGTTGGTTTTTTTTCTTCTGATTCGGACAGAAATGAGGCTATCAGCATTTTACAGCTCAGGCTTGGCAGCTTTTGTAAAGGCGAATTGTTCGGTTGCCCATGGCTCACCAATTGACTCCTGGCAAGAATCACTTCCTGGCAAGACGTTTTACCATCCCTGAGAAGCATTACTGACTTGAAACCTTAGAACAACCCCATATCAGTTCCAGTCAAGCATTCTAACATAGACTTTCTCTGGCTTGCCGCGAATACGTGTTCAAGGCCGTCTGTTTCGTGGGCTGTCAAGAACACATCCTGTTTTGAGAAACTTGCCATGGATAGTGCAAATTGTAACACGCGGTGGTATAGTGCGACGGCCGTAAAAAGAATAAAATGAAGAGTATTGTGATTTTTGGGACACTTTGTAGACAGAGGTCAAGTCAACGGTGATTGAGATTTTGATCAATCGAAAGGTCTAAAGCAATGGTCCCCAATCCGCGGGCCGCGGACCAGTACCGGTCCGTGGGTCATTTGGCACCGGGCCGCACAGAAAGAATAAAGAACTTACATTACTTCCGTTTCATTCATTTCGGAATTGGAAAGATGTTTTATTTTGAAAAATTACCGGATTCTCTGTTACATCGGTCAACAGTGTATTACTCTTGACACAGGTCAAGGCGCGCTTCTCGGTCACGTGATAGGTTACCGCTAAAATGAAACCCAGGAGGGGCTTGCAAAATGAATTAAAAACAAAGGTCTTGGAAAGTTTCATTGGGAAGGGGAAAAGGCCCAGCCAGGCGACAGAAGAGGAGCCGACAACTTTCAAGAAAAAGAAGTCTACATTTAATAGACGGTATCAGGAGTCCTACTTAAAATACGGATTGATCTCAAAGGGAGATTCCCATTCACCAAGCTCACTCTACATAATATGCGGCGACGGTGAGGCGTATTTTTCAAGCACTTTGTATTTGCGGTGTATCTTATTTTAAAGGCACGTTTAAACATTACCGTAGCAACCAGAGTGTTGCTGCCAGATAGGATGTTTCTCGTGTCATGATTCGTGTTTTTTATGTTTCGAAAATACCACGGTTTTTATGCGGGTCATATCATATTATTTTCTTGTATTTATCCGTCACACCTTAAAGGCCGATCCCTGAAAATATTGTCTGATATTAAACCGGTCTGTGGGCCAAAAACAGTTGGGGACCACTGTTCTAAAGAACAACGAGAGCACCAACACTGAGGATCGTGAATAAGAAAGCAAGTACAATCACTTACAATCACGGCAACGGAGGTGTCAGACCTCCATAGCTTGACACCCAACTGTCTGCGTGCTTCCCCCCCCAGCTCCCTCACATCCGACCAGGCCATCGACTTGATGGAACGGCTCACCCAGGAGCTGCACCTCCACGCCGCAGACCTCACGCAGCTATCGTAAGTACCCGTGCCATAACACGCTCCCACGCCGTCACAAGTAATCACTGAAGCCATTTATAGATGGCGCCGTAGCTGCACAAAATCAGCAACATGAATCAATACACTACCAGTGGCCTTGGACGGATTGTAGACTACATAGAACTTGAAATTGTTTCTCCTTCAAACCAATCCTAAATCAGCGATGTGAATCAGTACACTTCCAATGGCCTTGTTTAAACTGTGCAGCATATTTTCATTAAAAAAATTGGCTTTTAAGCTTTTTAACCTGAACTGTTCTTGGGACCGTCAGCTATGCGAACTACTCTTACTTCAAATGATTTTGTTCAAATACAGGACAATATCTAAATTGTATTGTTGTTTCACCTTCAAACTGTTCTGTAAAAAGTATGTTTTTTTTTTTTTAACCACTAGACTTCAAATGGCCTTGTTCAAATTCTTAACCATATTTCAAGTTGTTCAACCTTCAAAATGGCCAAGGAATGTCAGCGAAGTGAACCACCAAACTTCCTGCGACCATCCTCAAATTCTGGACCATATGGACCTTTTCAAATTGTTCAACCTCTGAAACATATTGTGGAAAGTCAGCTACGTGAATGACTACAATAGAAACGGCCTCGTTCAAATTTGACACCACTGTACTACCAAAGCCCTGGTTCAATTTCTGGACGGTATTTTCTGAAGCTGAAGTCCAACATGTTCGACTTTCAAAACAATCTGTGGGAAATCAGCTACCTGAACCACTACACCACCAAGGGCTGTCTTCTAATTTAGCACCATAAGTTCCTGGAAATGTTTTAACTTCCCAATTATTTCCCTTCAAGCCCTTTCAAATTCCTCGCCTCTGCTGAAAATGACTACAGTTGAAACGTTTCAACGTTCTCTCCCAGCGTGGGAAAAGCATTGTGTCACATTGCAAGGACTGCACTAGTCTGGCAAAACTTTGCAGTCGCGCCAGTGAACGTAGGCGTTTGTTGTTTATCTGACCTTTCAGAGTGTTTGACTTCTCCGAGCCGCCCTAATTACCTCCGGAACGGTTGTGATGCGTGTTCTGTATTCAAAGCACCGCCTCTGTCTCTGTACGCCTCGTCAAAGTAAAAGAACAGTCAAGCCATCAAATCCTTCTCAGTTCGAGTCAAAGTGTGAGTGGAGGCAGCAGCGATGTGGATTTGTGGATAGCGGCTCGCAAATAGAGAACGTTGTTCAGCGGGAGGCGGTTAATGTATTCACAAGCGATCAACCTGTCCTTGAACCCCCGGACCCAGTTTGTTCTGGATCGGCAGCTCCGCCGTGAGTTTGGTGTCAGGCCATGTAGGCGGCAGACGAGTCGTGTTGGACGCACATACAACAAGAAGCAGTCTCGTCCCGGTGTAGATGTATTAATAGCACCACATTTCACCTTCTACTGTAGGCGTACATCGACGTATGTCATACAGTACTGTGCAAAAAGTCTCTCTTCACACCTATGCAGCCATGAAACGCACTGACTCATACTGTAGTGTGGCTCGAGTTGAATATATATATATATTTTTTTTTACATGGCATTCACTCCACTTTCTCACTTTCTCTCATTTTGTCACAATCAAACACGAAGTAGCAGGACAGATACAGTAATCCCCCAACTATTCATCCATCCATCCATTTTCCGATCCGCCTTACCCTCACAAGGTTCGCGGGGGGTGCTGGAACCCATCCCAGCCATTTTCGGGCAGGAGGCGGGGACACCCTGAACCGGTTGCCAGCCAATTGCAGGGCCATCCACGCTCACACTCACGCCTAGGGACAATTTAGAGTGTTCAATCATCCTGCCATGCATGTTTTTGGAATGTGAGAGGAAACCGGAGTACCCGGAGAAAACCCACCCAGGCCCGGACAGAACATGCGAACTTCTCACAGGGAGGCCGGAACTGAAGTTGAACCCGCTACCTCTGCACTGTGAGGTCGACGCGCTAACCAATGGACCACCGGGCCGCCCTCCAACTATTCACAATTTGCTATTTGTAAATATTCTCTAGAACCCATTCTTCGTTGAAAAACACTGTAACACTGTAAGATGGCGTCAAACCGCTGAAATTGGTCTCAAGGAAGTACGGTTGTGGCTTTCAACACAAAGCTTACATGCGTTTATTTTCCTTATTCACAGCAGGACTTGTTATCCTCCCAAGCTCATTGCGCACTTCTGCAACCTCAAGGACTGTCGATTTTTCTCGAATGAAATGGCCCTAGATGCTGGAACCACTCTCTATCCAGTGCACACCCGTCAAATGTCACCATCGTGACCTCGAAAGAAATTCGGCCAAGGAGACTCGATCGTTTTCACGTTCCAGCTTCCAACTTATTTGTGACAAGCGGGAACACCAGGGACATGTCATCAGGCCAGCGCTGATTGAGTTAATCCTGTTATTACAGCTGCCATATCACATCAGCGCTAATCAACCCTGATGGTAACGCATGTGATGAAGGCTAGCTATATTCTTATGAGGATGATGAGCCGCTAATATGGCCAGATGTGGCAAAAGTACACACATCCTGTACAGAAGGAGAGGTCTAAAAAAACAAAAACAAAAAAAAAACAATAAAAATACTGATTCATCTCGTGTATCATAATCAAAAATAAAAAGTATGAAATCATATTATTGATTTTCCCCATTTTAAAACTGTATCATCGTACAAAATAAGTCCAATACATATAAATATTTTTTACATAAAAATTTTTTTCCTTTATCAAAAATAGGTAACAGACCATTGAGTAGCGGGGGAGAGGGACTGAGCCCCGAAAAACCAAAACCAAAACTAAGCCTTGCTCTGATCGTGAAAATTTGCCAGGAATTGATGCTCTCTCAAAAGGATTCTAATTGCCCATTATTGCCACAATATCGCGACAAAGTGTACAACCTTTGTCTCAGTCAAGCTCCTCAACTCACTTCAACAAAGTTCCTTGGCAAGATGGCACCGAAACAGCGCAGATTTGAGTGGACCAAATATCAGAGGATGGCATCCCTCCGAAAATCTGTGAATAATGTACACATTTAATTTGTGAAATTATCGTTTCCAGCCTCCCAAAAAAAAAAGAAAAAAAAACAAAAAAAAAACAAGAAAACATTTAAACTGTGTTTTTAAGAGAAAATAGCAATGTATCGTATTTTACTTCATAAAAACAACAGTGATGACACAATTAAACAGTACACAAAAAACTAGGGTGGGGGTAACGGACAGATAACGGACAGAGACACGCATGAAGTTTCACAACTGCGAGTGAGAATACGAAACGGACGCCTGTGAGTGTTGTTATATTGCCTGTCTACATGTGTTGCTTCACTGTTTGTGTTGAAATTTCCATTGCTCAGAGTTGGCAAAGCTGCTAAAGGAAAACAGACAAATGACGACTCATATTTCGAAAAACTCGTAAGTAGGGTCACTCGTATCTCAAGGCACCACTTGTACCTCATTACTTGGCACCGCTGGATTCAGTGGCTTCGTAGGTGCTTCAGCCGCAGTCTATTAAGGATGGCATATGAGCGCACACCATTCTATACAAATGATAAGTGGAGAAAAATGTCCTCCTTTATCCCACCCACCAACACACGCACACACATACACACTCTCGACTTCCTCTCTTTTAATGAAAACCCACTGGAGTCGAAATAGTCCAGACAGGGTGTACGCGGTGCGACGCGAACCCATTGTGTCGTTCCCCGCGAGGCCGCGGCAGGTGAGTGTTTGAAAACGTCCCCCCCTGTCTGAATATGCTCGGCAGCTGGGTCAGAGCACACCGCCACGCTTCTCCGTGCCAGCTCTTTCTGAAGCGCTCCATGAAGGACTCGACGGGAGAGAGGCTGAGATGTGACAAACAAGCGAGGCGGACATTTTGATGAAGGGGCTGGAGTTTTAAGATAGCCAAGCCTGCTGTGATCGGGTTTTTTTTTTGGTTTGTTTTGTTTTTTTTCTCAAGAGATGATTGGCTGTGAGGGGGTTTACGAGCCTCGGTTGCAATGACGTAAGGGTGTTACCCAGTTTAGGCACTAGGGGGCGTGGGTCTCACACACACACACACACACACACACACACACACACTAATCGCATCCCACCAGCAGAGCTAATATGAAGTCCACGCTTACACATCCGATAACACAGGAGAAAGTGTGAAGTCCTCTAGATAGCTTATCATCCTTGACTCCAATCCCCGCCACCCACCGCCTCATTCCATTGTGTTTGCGCTTCCTCCTTTACTTCATTTAAAACGGGACGCAAAAGACACCAGTTCAATTTGAGATGCTTGGTGATCTGCGGCCAAAGGGAACAAAGATTGTGGAAATATTGACATTTACAAGAGCAAACAGAACCCAAGTGAAGCATTAGAGAAGGATATTTTTTTCCCCCCCTTAAGAACTATGGGAGCGTGTGTGCGTGAGGAATGGTGTTCACAAATCATTGCATGGCTGGGTCCATCTGTCCGCAAGTATTGGCTCATATTTTGATCGCAGCCCTGGGAGACTGCAGGTGACTAATGGTGGAATGACTTTCTGGTCGTAGAACTCCAGTGGTTATCTGTGATGCAGTGTGACAGGAAATACAGTGGGGACTTCAGATACGCGTGACCCAGCTCACGAGCATTTTAAGATGCGAGTCGTCTTTCGGCGGATTTATTTAGTCATTGCTTCAACTTGTGAGTAAAAATTGGCGACGCAGCAATTTGTCATTTCGAATGAATAAATATATGTAAAAAGAAATGCTTCGAGCTGTTTAGTGTCATTCATTTGATCCAACCACCCAGCTTTGCCTTAAAGTGTGTGTTTAGCTTAATTCTAACAAATAAGGCAAAAAAATAGTGGAGCAACAAATGTCGATCGTCTTTACATTTTCTCATTTAATTCAGTGCACATGGTGCTGCTCATTCTTGTGTCCACACCGTTGCCACTTGAGGAAGTTGTTGCTGAAAGGGAAATAACACTGCTACATAGATGCTAATTGCTGCCTATGGCGTTTTCCCAACTAAAGTCTAAGCCAGGGGTCGGCAACCCAAAATTTTGAAAGAGCCATATTGGACCAAAAAAAACAAAAAACAAATATGTCTGGAGTCGCAAAAAAAAAAAGCCTTATCTAAGCCTGATAATGAAGGCAACACATGCTGTATGTAGCTATATTAGCCTACAATCAAAATGACGAAGTTGGCTACAAATACACAATGAGCATTCATGATTAAAATTTTTTTCCCTGCAGTGCATCCTGTAGTGCAGGGGTGCCCATCCTTTTTTGACCGGAGATCTACTTTTCGATCAACCAGCCTCCCGAGATCGACCCGTGTCGTTACCGCACGCGCGCATACGCACACACTTACAGAGGCATGCCGAGGCATGGGACGCACTTTTGCGGCGTGTTCACTATCGTAGCCCACGTGTACCGTTTAAAAAGGAATAGAACGTGTGTCGCAGGCTGTGACGCAAATCTTCGTTGACAGAAATGTTGACATCTAATATTTATTCTACACATTTTTACAGCATTGGAAAACATTAATAATGTTTGTGTCATGTTTGTCCTGCTACAGAAACCATATTAAAATATATTTCCCTCTCCCATCTTTTTCCATTTTCAAACATTTTTGAAAAAAACTCCAGGGAGGCACTAGGGCGGCGCTAAAGAGCCGCATGCGGCTCCGGAGCCGCAGGTTGCCAACCACCGGTCTAAGCCATGCGGTTGCATTGAAGCCCCACAAAAGAAAAATAATATATAATTTGGGTAAACAAAACAAAACATTTTTGTTATTTTTGGTACGAGGCTCGAATGAATTCATGGAAATTGCATTCAGTTCAATGGAGAAAGAGGGTTTCAGATACAAGTGATTTTGGCCACCCATGTAGTTTCAGTTGGGGTTTTAACATGTTCTAAAGTGTAATGCACATCCACCAGATACACATTTTCTTTTTTTCTATTTTCCCTGTGTGCCGCAGGGAGTTGTTCCACTTCAAGAGCACGGTTGTTAGCCTTAACTTGACGGCCAAGCTCAGGGACCTTTAAACATTTATTCTGCTCCAGGGAGGCACAAGCTCGCTTCTGTCTCCTGACCGGACAACGGCGAGTAAGTGCAGAGTGTATGTACATAAGCAGGTTCCTGAGGGTTAAATGGAGCCAAGTTACTTAGCTTTTTGCACCGTCACAAAAAAAAAAAGCTGAATTCAAGATGCAGTTTTCTTCACAGAAACATTTTGTTGATAGTCCTCGAGGTCAAAACTGAAATTCAAACGACATTTTGTCTTGTCTTCCGCCAGTGTTCTTGGCCCGGCGTTGACTTTCCGGGTCGGGCTCACCCCTGCCAATGTAACCA